GCTATGTGGTATTCATGTGGTTTATATACACATGTCACATGACTTGTCTGTGGAAGTGTAATCTCATGATAGCTGATCTGCCATTAAATGATTTAGAAACCATGCTATGTGTTGTGCAGTTAAAGTACCCTGCTACGCTAAGCCCAAAGAAAGAACACAACACTGGCAATGAGTATGGGATCTGTTAAACAGAGAGGAGTGTCAGCGATGGTTCTACTACAGGTTGTTAGTGATAATGGTCCTCGATTCACGAGTGAGGAGTTTGCACATTTTATGAAAATAAATGGGGTCGAACATGTGAAAGTTGCACCATATCAAGCAGCTAGCAATGGAGCAGCAGAAAGAATGGTTAAGTCTTTTAAACGATCCATAAGTTGCAGTAAAAGGGAGCATACACCTGCTTATTCCAGATTTCTTGCTGACATATCTTTCAACTAAGCATGCGAAGACAGGTTGAACACCCGCCAGTTTGTTTTTGGGCAGAGAGGTTCGTACACGATTGTCATTAGTACTGAAAGCAAAGTGATTAATATGCAAGGAAAACAAAAGGAACATCATGACAATAAGACTGCATTATGTGAATTATTCCCAGGGGAGGCAGTATGGGTGAGGGACGTTAGAAAGAAGGCGTGGTCCTCTGGAACAGTGTTAGAATGCACTGCACCCAAGTCATACTTAATTATCCTACAATCACCTTCAACCGCGAGATTCCATGAGATATAGCAGCGCACACGCAGTAGGCACTTCAGAAGCAACACTTCAAGTAGTAGGTTACGTTTTCCTGTGAGGCAGAACTAACATCTGAAATCAACGGTAAGATTGGGCCATCGGCTTTACTTAATTTTTCCCATTAGTTACTAAATACAGGACTTACGATCATTAATGTTATTTTCTCTTCGGAATCTCACAATTTTCCTCATTGGTGATGTTTTCTCCCTTCTCTGTGTATTACGGGCACCGCCATTTTAGTTTGTGATACTTTCTATAGCTATATTAATAATAGCTATAATAATAATAGTAAGTTCTCCCACAGTTGATAATTATTCACTGATTCTACCTTAATCGGTACAGTGAGGAGCCACAACTGATCAGGTTATAAGTGACACGATCATGTGGCAAAATTCACGGTTTTCATTTACTGTGGATTAGACGGGAATCTGTTTGTTGTCTCAGAACTTTACATATACTTTACATACACATATAATTAGTGCTTGTTCTGGCGGGTTTCGTTACGCTCTTTCTCATTTTCAGAGCAATATGGCGGAAGACGACAATCCCAAGCCCTATCATTTTTTGACTATGTCTGCAGCTATTACACAGATGGCCACCTCTGTGCAGGATCTGGACACGTCCCTTGGGAATAAACTTGATACTCTTGTGAGTCTGCAGAGTAATACCGCTTTAGATAGGCAGCCACAGAGCAGCAGCTCTACTGATCATGACCAGATGGACTGTGAGGTTCTTCTTGACCAGTTCAATTGCCCTTATACGAGTGAGGGCGCCCAGAGTGATAATCTTACGGCAGCTGACAGCATTTTTCATGATCTGTCCCAAGATTTGGAGGGGGAGGGCACTGGATCTCCAGTCCCTGAGGACATTGCAACCCTAATTACCTCCTTACTCTCCTCTGGGTTGCCAGAGGAAAAACTGAAGGACAAGCTGAGTGCTTATCTCACGCCGGCCAACATACCTCTATTATGTAAGGTCAAAGTCAATCAAGTCATCTGGGATTCCCTGGACACGACTGCTAGGTCCAGCGGGCACCAGGGGGCGGCTGGATAGTCTACCATGTGGTGGATGTGGGTGCTGCAGACGGGCCCACGAGAATTGCGTGGGATTCAAGGAGGAAGTGGATGATGTAATTCCATTAGCACAGGGTGCGTACCGGGATACAGGTGATATCCAGGGTGTTGAGTTTCATTAAGCCAGAAGGACGATGATGGAAAGACGGTTCACACAGTAAGGGCCCCTTTACACTGGACGGCGTCCTTTCTGCGTCCAGCAGTACGGCCCCATTTGAGAGTTAAAAAATTATAATACTTTACGTGCCGACAACTGGCCGATCATTGAGCATTCATGCTGATACAAAATCAATGCTCGTGTCTCCTTATTACGACCACAGCGATGCCAAATTTCATGGTCGCAGAAAGGACGCAGAAAGAACACCGTCCAGTGTAAAGGGGGTATAAAGGTGGCTCCAGTGAATGTGTTTTCTGAACACACGGTGTTCGGGGAAGTATGTAGAGAAGAGGAGAGTGTTACAGATACGTTAGAGTTCCGGGTTTTACAGACTGTGCTAGATCAGATTAGGGGAAAACACCTCGAGTGGCACCAGTTACCACTCGGAGACGGGCACCAGATAAAAGGTTAGAGGATAAAGGTGCTGAACCAGTAACTCCACAGTGGAGTGTGATAAAGAATCAACACTCAATGAGGAGAAACTGAAGGGTGAGGTCAAGGTGAAGGACCAAGGGTCTTCACGGCTCACCAGCTGGGGTTATTCGGTGGAGGAGGTCCGTGCAGCACAGAAGGCAGATGCAGACTTAAGTGTGATTAGGGACAGCTTGGAGAGTGGAAAGTCGCCTGATCAATCTACACTTTTCCTAGGCAGCCAGGCATTAAAATCATATTGGCTGGACAGGGATTTGTTTGTCATCATTGAGGGACTTCTGTATAGGTGTGACCCTGAAACTGAGGACAAGAAGTTGGTGCTACCCATGGCATGGCAGCAAGAGGCCATAAGATTACATCACTGCTTAACATCATCGGGCCATCAGGGGGCAAAGAGAACAAAGGATAGGCTCAAGGAGCGTTTCTATTGGTACAGTATGGGCAGAGCTACAGAGAACTTCGTTTCTAGTTGCACACGGTGTAACCAGAGTAAGAAATCTGCTAGGCAGGGAAAAGTGCCTTTAACACAATTCCAGGCGGGTTGGCCAATGGAGAGAGTGCACTTAGATATCTTGGGGCCGTTGTCGAAGACTACCAGGGGAAATGAGTATATTCTCATGATGGTCAACCAACTTACGAAATGGGTCGAATGTATCCCCTTACCATCACTGTCAGCGGAGGAGACGGCACTGGCCGCGATTGATCAATTCACAGACCAAGGGAGAAATTTTGAGTCCAAGTTCTTTACCGAGGTGTGTGCTGTGCTCGAGATTCATAAGGCCCGTACAATGCTGTATTGGCCGTCCAGCAATGGCCAGGTAGAGCGCTATAACCGTACTCTTATGGATGCGGTGCGCTGTTTCACGGAGAAAGCCCAGAATGGGTGGGACTTGCATCTACAGCAGATTGCCGGGGCACTTAGGGCCTCTGTAAACCGGATGACGGGGTACACTCCCAACAGGTTAATGTTGGGGAGGGAAGTGAATGCAGGTTTAATGTTCCCACAGAGGAGCATTAGTTATGAAGATCCAGATAGCTATGCCGCATGGTTGGCAGCTGATCTGAGGGAAGCCCATGAGACGGCTCGGGGTAAACTGTAAGTAGCCTCTAAACGAATGAAGAGAGACTACGACTAAGGATTTTGGAACGACCATATGCTGTGGGTGATGCAGTATATGTGCTGGACACTGACGCAACGAAGGGGAAGTGCAAAAAGCTGTGCCCACCATGGAGGGGCCCTGGTTTGATTGTAGCAAGGCTCAGTTTAAACCTGTTCCATGTTAAGGTGCGGAATGAAGTCTTTGTGACGAACCATGATAGGTTGGAGCCTTGTCGTGACAAGAGAGACCTTTAGTTACACGTACACGTACTGAAAATCACGCCAAGACGACGTGTAAGGTCACGTGACAGCCCGAAATACGCGTACTTCCGGCGTGAGTCTTCTCGTGCTCAACGTGTATTCGAAAGCTACAAGTACGAGACAGAACGTGAGTAATAATTTAACTTTTTTGTACTTAAAAAATATAATTTGAAAACAATGTCAAATGAAATGTTGTACAATATTTACTGAAGAACCAAAGGGCGTTTGTTATAAAGTTTGTTTATAAGGTTTAAAGCAGTTATCGATAAGATAAGACAAGACCCTACAAGTTGAGTAATTCCATTGAAAATTGTTGTTGGTGGGCATACTTCGTTTATGCAGCAAAGATCTAAACTATGCCCATGAATTCATTCTTTCGGTGTGGCAGTACAGCAGGGTTGCTCCGACTATGCAATCGTATCTGTGCTTTCATTTTCGGGAAAAATTGTACTGGTCAAAATGACTGGGAGGTGGTTGGGGTGGGGGATCGCGAAAAAAATATTGGTATGGTATTTTTACTCGGATTTCAGATTACATGGATATTTGTTACACCTACAATAAATTAAAGTGAAACAAAAAATAAAAGTGACTTATTTCATAAATACTTAAGAAAACCCCCTGAATTCATTACTAGTATTATTTTTCATGTTATTTTTTGGTGGATATAATTATTCCAGCAGTACTATTGTTGGTTTTACAGTTGGTTGAATAATTCTAGTAGTATTATTTTTAATTTGTAGATTTTTTTTTCATTTGGTGGTACAGTTATTCCTTCAAAGTATCTTGTTTTAGGTTTAGCGGTGAGTAGAAAATGGCAACTACATGTAGTGTCAACAGAAAAAAACAAATATGTTTTGGAGTTTATCAAGATATTCAGCTTTTGAGAGAAGTGACATCAGAAAACCCATTTGAAAATACTAATGGATGGCTAAATGTAGCAGAGGCCTTGCAGTCAGGGGGATTACATATCGATGCCAGAAGAGCAAGAGAGAGGGCTAAATTACTGCTGGAGTATTTTCAAAAAGACAACATGGAAAATCTACGCAAGTATGGGTTTTTAAAAATATTTATGCTATAGTGCTACTTGAATTTTACAACCAACTTGAATGTATTTGTGTCTTGTTTAATCATTCTGATTCTAATTTTTTAGTAGCCATATGTATATAAAACAGGCCAGATCAAAATCTAGTCCAGATCCTCAATGGATCTTTGCATTATTTACATGATAATNATATTCTTGTTGATGACAATCAAGATGCCAAATTCTATCTGCGGAGATGGAAAACAATCGGGTTTGATGAGCATTTTCATGCGTATGAAGTTGAAGAAGGCCCTGATGTGTCCATTCTAAACTGTGATGACTTACTGGATCACCGCCCTTTACATGTTGTGACAGTAGAAGATGTAAAATACATCGTAACAAGATCATCTTAAACAGGAAATTCTACATTTTCATTTTCATACCTGTACCAAATGTAAGATATTTTGACATTCTAGCTTTTGAGTATACCGTTATGTATCCATACTTAAATGCACATCGCCAATTATGATCATTTAACTTTTTTACTAAATAATTCATTGTATAGTAATTAGTTATTTTCTCTTTATTTTGATATATGATATAATCTTAATTATGTGATTTCTTTATTTCAGACAAGGGAGCCCACCAATGAAGCATCCTCGTCATGTGGCAACACAGTTATTCTATATTCCCCATCATCGACATCCTCATCTTCTACTTCCTCAATTAGCTCTTATGAATGTCCCATGCCTGATGAGACAGATAACACAGTACCGTCAAACTTCAAATTGGTAAGTGTACTCTTTCACGGAGTCCAAAACACTTAAACCCACTTCTAATTTTGTAATAATTTATTTATTGTTTTCAGAATGTTGTCAAAATCTTAAAAAATCATCCTGAAGGCAAAGAAATTGTAAAGACCCTCAGGGACAAAGACAAGTTTCTTACTCTCCAGTCTCGAAGGCTTATGGTTAGAATACTCGTGAGTGCACTCATTGAAGAATATGGGAAGTTGTAAGTTTTTTATTAATCTTTCAGAGTAATCATTTTCATTTTATCAGTTTAGCCATAACCTAGTGCTTGCATTGCAGCTTTTGTTTTGTTTTTTTATTTAATAATAATAATAATAATAATAATAATAATTCATTTCTTAAAACCGCGCTACACATGCGTCTCAGCGCTGTTTACAATGTATATATAAAAACTAAAACTAACCAGATAAATTAAAAACTAATATAAACTTACTAAGAAAAAAGCTATAAAACAAAAGATACATTTTAGTCAAAAAATTCTTTAAATAAAACGGTTTTTAAATTCTTTTTAAAACAATCATTGGACCAGGCAATTTTAAATATCATAAAAAATCATATTATTAACCTCCTAAATCTATTTTTTCAGTCCTACAGCAAGAGTCAAAGTAGTATTAGCAAGCTCATTAGTGCAAGAGTTTCCCAGACTCAAGGACAAGGAGGGTGAAGGCTATGTATGTATTTATCTGTTAGAAATTGTTAGTGATGTTTTATGAATACATGAGGTTGTAAAGAAAGAAGATACTTTTCAAAAAGTTTTAGTAATAGCTGTATTTTGAATATCAAATTCTAAGACTGGCCTTAATCAATCTTTCAGGAGGCCTGGTACTGTAGAGGAGTTGGGGGCAAACCAGCTACAGGATTCATCGAGGAACGATTGAGGAATGTCAGAAAGCGGATGAACCCCGAAAAATCAACAAAACGTCTGTCATCGTCAGGTGAGTTTTGATTAGCAACACTATGCCATAACTGAACTAATGGCAAAATTTTAAAAGCTTCAGACCTTTTTAAATCTCAGTTGCTTGTATTGAACATATTTGTTCATAACTTTGATGGCCGTCCTACAAAGATGACAAGTCCCCTGATTTGTATACAACTTGTGAAGGTAGCCCTGGATCTTTGGATTCATCCCTTCGTGGAAAGATTTTTTAGACAAGAACAGCATTGGAAAAAACTACATTGTTTCTTGAAATTTGAATCTTAAAATTGATTTCTTTTACAGGGTCTCCATCTCTCTCAGCTTCATTAACTTTGGAAAAAGCTACTCACAGTACCAGTGATAATATTGCTAAGTTGGCCTGGCTAAAACACAACCATGAACCTGAAAGCCAGGTAAAGGAATATATGAAACAAACAGCACACCTGAGAGCAATTCAAATTAAGGAAAACCCAGATAAATCCTTAGAGGGAATTCTCAGAGACCATCCAAGGTTATTGGATATTGGAATGGTAAGTATCCATAATGAGAAATTTGAATGAAATTCAAAATGAAAGTTTAAGCAGTAACATCATCATTCTGTTTTTACTTTTTTTCAGATCGAGCTTGATTTTAAAGTTCTATATGAAGATAAAGCTGATCTTCTGTTTGAAAGATGGGAAACTACATTTGCCAATAGAGTACTAGCATATGCAGCAGTCCAAAGGCCTGGATGGAAAAAACTTTTCAACCTAGATGTTGATGATCTTACTGATGGTAGGTGTAATGAACAGAATGTTTCATATTTCAATTTGTTTTTTTGATAGATCATTAATTTCATTTTTATTTTAGGATTTTGTGAAGCATATCTAAATTGTATGCAGTTATATTTCAAATTTCTATAATCTTTGATTTTGTGATTTTTACATTGTATATTTATACAACTTCTTTTCCTTTTAGATGAAGAGAGTGTGATAGCTTTACAGCTGTTGCCTTTAGTATTACCTACAAAACCATTCAAGAATGGAAAACAAGTAGTGAGACCATCCCAAATGGAAGCATACAGAAAATTCATTGAATTTCTCCCAGTAAGTTATATTTCTCATTTCTTTAAACCACTTACCAGCACCTAATAGACTGAAGAGGGAAAAAACTAATCAACTGAAGATAATACTTATATCTTTTTTTCCACTTGATAAATATTATTATGTTGAATTGTATTTCATGTTCTATATTCATGTCCCATTTCATTACAGATTGGGACTGACTTAAACTATCACCTGGGAAAAGATGAGAATGGACCTCCACATATTATCACTATTGGATGCAGTGCCAAGAACCCCACCGAGGCTTTTGTTGCCTTTGAACAAAATGCCATCAAATGTCCAACATTACTCAAGGCTGTTGATCTATGTTTCAAATCTTTTTACATCCTTGATGTTAATTACCCACGAGAGTGCTATACGGTCTGGGAATTTCTGCAAACCGTAGTTTATGAAATGGGTGATGAAAAGAGCTCTCCTCTGATCAAATCCCTCCGCAACTTCTTTCTGCCTGATGATTAAACACAGTTGACTTAATATTTTTCAACGCTGTCTTATCAATAATGACAAATATATCATTTTCCTATTTCATGTTTTACATTTTCCATTAATCATGGACACTCTTTGTTTGAAAGTAATATTGTTGGTGGGCTCACTGCTGTATTACAGGTAGATTACAGGTATATTGTATTATAATACTGTATTATGTATCCATGTTTATAATGTTTACATGCAGAGATATTTGTTAATCATTTCTGAGAAAGTTATTCATTTCATATTATAACCCATCATTTTGTATTTTAATCTAAATAGCAAAGTAATATATTTTTGTTAACAGTTGGATTTGATGATGGGAAGGTTCTCCCATTTTTGACTTGCAGGACGTGGACAAATTACCATGTCTAGCTCCTTATTCACTTCAAGGTAATTTGAATACCTATAATATAATAGAATGTACAGTGTACATGTATTTTGTTATGATGCGATTTTGTTTTGCCTGCAAATATCATGATGTATGATAAATTTGCATAATTTTTGTAATAAATCGAATTCATCCACTTACCCTATGAATTTATGGTTGTTCTTGTATCTTATGGCGGTGAGGATGGTATTATGTATTTGGATTTAGTCAGCCAAATTATTATTGGCCAGGTAATTTATTATTAACCCAGCATTTAGTCAAGATCACCCAAATTTGGGTAGAGATTAACCCATGAGATGGGTTATAAATTAACCCAAACCACTGGGTTGAAAAACTAACCCAAAATCTTGGGTTATGATAACCCAAATGAGGTTGGTGCTATGTTGACCCAGCGCTGGGTTAGAAAACAACTAAATTTGGGTTGAAAATAACCCAGCCAGATTTAGAGTGTATATGCCAATTTTAGAGGCCCAGATCTCAACGGCAATGTGGCTTGCTGAATAAAACCTCCCAAACCGAAAATATTTGAAACTCATTGACCTTCAACTTGCAAACAGTGCCTCTGTTTTTTCAAATAAGAAAGGCATATATACAAACCACCAAGCCCCAGCTAACTTTCAAAAGTACATTGCCGATGTGCTAAAAGAAACTGCTTTGGTTCCTATCAGAGATAGTCCATTTATTGGAATTATGACAGACGAAAGTCTTGACATTGCTACCAATAAAAAAATTAATCATGTTTTGCAGAATAATTTGTAATGGGGAACTAAGAGTTGAATTTTGTGCAAACATTTCAATTGCAGATGGTAAGGCTGACACCCTGTATAACAGCATACTGAATTGGTTGCAGGAAATTGGTTTGGGAATTAACNATAGACTGAAGAGGGAAAAAACTAATCAACTGAAGATAATACTTATATCTTTTTTTCCACTTGATAAATATTATTATGTTGAATTGTATTTCATGTTCTATATTCATGTCCCATTTCATTACAGATTGGGACTGACTTAAACTATCACCTGGGAAAAGATGAGAATGGACCTCCACATATTATCACTATTGGATGCAGTGCCAAGAACCCCACCGAGGCTTTTGTTGCCTTTGAACAAAATGCCATCAAATGTCCAACATTACTCAAGGCTGTTGATCTATGTTTCAAATCTTTTTACATCCTTGATGTTAATTACCCACGAGAGTGCTATACGGTCTGGGAATTTCTGCAAACCGTAGTTTATGAAATGGGTGATGAAAAGAGCTCTCCTCTGATCAAATCCCTCCGCAACTTCTTTCTGCCTGATGATTAAACACAGTTGACTTAATATTTTTCAACGCTGTCTTATCAATAATGACAAATATATCATTTTCCTATTTCATGTTTTACATTTTCCATTAATCATGGACACTCTTTGTTTGAAAGTAATATTGTTGGTGGGCTCACTGCTGTATTACAGGTAGATTACAGGTATATTGTATTATAATACTGTATTATGTATCCATGTTTATAATGTTTACATGCAGAGATATTTGTTAATCATTTCTGAGAAAGTTATTCATTTCATATTATAACCCATCATTTTGTATTTTAATCTAAATAGCAAAGTAATATATTTTTGTTAACAGTTGGATTTGATGATGGGAAGGTTCTCCCATTTTTGACTTGCAGGACGTGGACAAATTACCATGTCTAGCTCCTTATTCACTTCAAGGTAATTTGAATACCTATAATATAATAGAATGTACAGTGTACATGTATTTTGTTATGATGCGATTTTGTTTTGCCTGCAAATATCATGATGTATGATAAATTTGCATAATTTTTGTAATAAATCGAATTCATCCACTTACCCTATGAATTTATGGTTGTTCTTGTATCTTATGGCGGTGAGGATGGTATTATGTATTTGGATTTAGTCAGCCAAATTATTATTGGCCAGGTAATTTATTATTAACCCAGCATTTAGTCAAGATCACCCAAATTTGGGTAGAGATTAACCCATGAGATGGGTTATAAATTAACCCAAACCACTGGGTTGAAAAACTAACCCAAAATCTTGGGTTATGATAACCCAAATGAGGTTGGTGCTATGTTGACCCAGCGCTGGGTTAGAAAACAACTAAATTTGGGTTGAAAATAACCCAGCCAGATTTAGAGTGTATATGCCAATTTTAGAGGCCCAGATCTCAACGGCAATGTGGCTTGCTGAATAAAACCTCCCAAACCGAAAATATTTGAAACTCATTGACCTTCAACTTGCAAACAGTGCCTCTGTTTTTTCAAATAAGAAAGGCATATATACAAACCACCAAGCCCCAGCTAACTTTCAAAAGTACATTGCCGATGTGCTAAAAGAAACTGCTTTGGTTCCTATCAGAGATAGTCCATTTATTGGAATTATGACAGACGAAAGTCTTGACATTGCTACCAATAAAAAAATTGATCATGTTTTGCAGAATAATTCGTAATGGGGAACTAAGAGTTGAATTTTGTGCAAACATTTCAATTGCAGATGGTAAGGCTGACACCCTGTATAACAGCATACTGAATTGGTTGCAGGAAATTGGTTTGGGAATTAATAAAATAAGTGGATTTGGAAGTGATGGGGCGTCAGTAATGACTGGCAGGTTGAATGGTGTTGGGGTGAAACTAAAGGCTGACAATCCCAGAATTATACATATCTGGTGTGCTGCACATAGATTAGCACTGGCATCTTACTGGGCAGCTAAGCATGTACCATATCTTGATACTGTGAATGAAATGTTGGTTGCCATTTACAATTTTTATCAGCATTCAGCTTGCAGGTACAACAAAGTGAGAGAGTTACAAAAAATCTTAGGTCAAAAGGTGAAAAGATTTTAAAAACCAACCCAAGTAAGGTGGTTATCTATGTCAGATGCAGTGAAAAACTGTTATGACTCTTACTCTGCACTCATTCTTAGCTTGGAACATGAACAAGCGAGCAATGATCCCAGAAGTGAAGGTGCACAGAAGGCAAAGGGTATGTTGAGAAAAATGAAATGTTTCAAATTCATTTGCACCCTCAGTCTTTTGAAAGATATCCTGCATTTACTGGACACTGCTTCAAAAACATTTCAGAAAGATACAATCGATATTCATCAGTTGAAAAGCATGATTACTGCCACAGTAAACACCATTGAGTCATACAATGATGAAGATCCTGTTACACTGCAGGATACAATAGAGCAAATTGAAGAAACCTCTGAATTTAGGGGTATATCAATCACATGCAACCTGAGAGACAGACTTGAATTGACCAGAATGTAGAGGAGGTATTTACAGGAGATAGTTAGAGAGATCAGTGAAAGGTTTCCTGATACAGAGTTGGGGATTCTGAATGATCTGAACTGTATTTTGAACCCCAAACTGTTGCCAAATGATCAAGCAGGCATTGGTAGGCATGGGGAGGATAGTCTTGAAAGGTGTATTGACAAGTATAGTCCGAGTGCAGAGCCATTGATTAATTCAGAGGCTGCAAGAAACAATTTTCTCCAGTTCAAGCATCTTATGAATGTGAACAGAGAGTTACAGCTGCAGGAGTTCTGCACTCTTATAATGAGAGACTACAAAGAAACTTTTCCTGACTTTGCGACCCTGGAAGCAATTCTCATGACCTGTCCATTAACTTCAGTGCCATGTGAAAGGGGCTTTTCACTCCAAAATAGACATCATTGTGCATCAACCAATGTCAGAACAGTTGACAATGTTGAAAATAGGATGCACACTGAGTTTGGCTCAAAACAACCTGGATACCAGGACGACAGACCTAACATCTTGAGGCAGGCAGCTGAAAAGTTTCAGCAAAATCACTAATTCATCTCATTGAAACAGTAAGTACATAGACAGCTACATGAAGACAAGTACTGCTGAATGTCCAAGGCAATTTGTTAATGACACCATTTTCTTTTACCGGTAGATTATGGAGATGAAATGCTGAAGGAGATTTACAGTGGAATGTTGAATACACTAGTAAATGGTGGCTTTGACAGTGACTGTAGCTTGTCTGAGCTGTTAACAGAATGGGTGTTTTTGAAGTCTTATGTGTACAATAGGTAAGTAATTGTTATAAACAAGTAATGAGAGAGAAATCATTTATTGAATAGTATTAATGTATCATTTATTGTTGTGGTAAAAATTGTTATTAATTGAGTCTTCCTTCTGCCATGCAGACTTCTACCTCAGCCACCATCTCCTTCCACTTCTGACTGTCCATCTAGAAATAGAATCAGCATGCCCACAAGATTTTTGTTTTGAATGTTAATAAATGCATTGTTTGAACTCTTGGTTAAGCTCAACACCGGGAATCACTGAGCGGAGGTTGGCAGCCCTCCACTACTTGAAGAAACGGATTGTGGGGTCTCACTTGACCCTGGAGACGCTATTGGATGCTGCCAGTGTGGAGGACAGCAGTGATTGCGAAAGCCGTCGGACCACGGCCATATGCCGGCAAAAATTCTGTGGGCTGGTACATCCTTAAAACTCATCGGCCCACATGTCCGACGGACTAAAGTCTATTTCTTAACAGGGAAAACTCGCCTCTTCAACTCGCCTCATCTGAATTTATCGATAAGCTCTGTGCACGCACTAGATATTTTGTATCAAATACATGCCAGCCTGTCCATAAGATTTAGTGGGTGTGGTTTTTATCTGATTGGGTAGTACACCAGTAATTGACGTTTCTTTATCGATCACGCGGCAAACGAAAGTTACTCTCTCTCCAGGCAGAAGATCCTCGCTGTTGTTAATAAAGCGAATGCTGCTTGGAGAGTATGAAACCATGTGGTCATGTGACCGCAAGTACCTTCGCCGGCGCCATGTCCACGTCGAAGATCACCTCGTGGCTCGGTATTGTAGAGAAAAATAGTGAAAAAAAAAGCCCAAATACCACTAACATTAGCAGAAAATCTTTTTTTCAAGAGTACGATAAAACACGGAAACGGAGTTTTAACCCAAAATGGAAATTANCTACTGTTGTCAAATATTTGTGCATCATGTACACTGCCAGGCCACCGGGCCACGATATGCAACATCTCCAAATTGTAACCACATACAGCCTGAACGTTGATAAGGAAGTAGCCCTTCTGGTTTCTGTACAGTTCTGCATGCACACCACCTGGAGATGGTATTTTGATGTGAGTGCAGTCGATAGCACCTACAACGCCTGAAAAACCGGCTATCCTCCAAAATCCTAGCTTCATATTTTGAAGTTCTTGTCCTTCAGGAAACCGTATGAATTGTGGTTTAAGCGAAGCAATACCTTCTGATACTCTTTTGATGATACTACTTCCAGATGACTGGGAAATGTCACAGAGATCTCCACAAGCCATCTGGAAGGTGCCAGTGGCATAGCAGCTGTATATCTGCAGGGATTGGATTGCCTCTTTCATTATGAGGGGCTATCATTGGTGTTACCAAACGCAAC